CTGCTTCTTTCTAAGACCAAACCAGATGCCAGCTACACCTTGAAGCCTTTCCTTACCACACCAGGCAGCTAGGTAGTGCAGAGGATATGGTGTGAGATCTGGAATCAGGAAGATCTGATTTTGAATTCTGCCTTAGACTTACTAGCTATGTGACTCTTGGATAAGTCTCATAACCACTCTCAGCCTCAGTTTTCTCACCTGTAAAATTGGGATAATAATAAAACCTACTTGATAGGATTATTGTGAGGATCCAATGAGATGAGCTGCAAAGCACTATATAAATATTTATCTTTATGTGAGAGTATTTTGACATTCTCTTTGTATGTATCTCGCTCTTCCTATATGATAATTATTAGTGCGCTCATCACCTTTCCAACACTCCCCCTCGTCTCTCTGGCATTAGATTATAAGCTCCTTGAGGGCAGAAAAGAAAAAAGGAAACAAGTATTACTTAAACACTTACTGTGTGCCAGGTACTGTGCTAAAAGTACTGGAAATAGAAATGTAAGCAAAAAGATAGTCCCTGTCCTCAAGGATCTTACATTCTAACGGGAGCTGGGGGGAAGGCAATTCGTGAGAGGGAGTTAAAAATTAGGGGGAAAGGGCATGGATGAATGAAGGGGATGTGGCTATGATGTCCGGAAGCCTGAAACAGGTTTGAGAGAGGAATGAAAGCCAGCCAGGGCCCCTCCACCAAATGGAGACCCCAGGAAGAAATCACCAGGGGAGATGTGGGTCTTACAGAGGAATAGTCCAAATTGAAAAGGTGGTAGACATAGCTGCATGTTCTGGTGTAGAGGCTTCAGGCACTGAACATGGGACAGTGGCAGAGGCATGGTTTTGGAATTCAGAAGCTAAGAAATACGGTTGGGAGGGGAATATGTATTATATTTCCTTGTCTCTCTAGCACCTAGTATAGTGACTTTCACACCATAGGTACTTAATACATGCTTGTGGAATGGAATTGAAACAGATTGAGTTTCTCTTGATAGTTGGTGGACATCCTGACCACTTTTTCAATTAAGTATTACATGTGTATATATTTTATCTTCATTCAAAGATGGCCATGTTGGTTGTGCTCCTTACTGTGTATGTCAGGATGATTGATGCTTAGGGCTGTTTCTTGGCTATAATGCATTTTGAATCTATCTCACTCATGTATCCCATGATCCAGGAGCTCAGGAACATACCCAATAGGGCCCCTGCCTTTGGGGCTTGAAGAAAGATTCCCTTGACATCCCCTGTATTTGGAATCTATAAACAACTGCTCTAAAGAGCAGAGAGAACAGCGAGTCCTCAGTGTGCCATTAACTTGCATATTGGGCATATACTGGGAATAATTTTGTAAGCCATGGTTAGACTTTCCATCTGAATAAGTACAAGGCCCTGATGGGGAGCAAATTGGCACTCTGTTGCAAACAATTGAACTTTGGTGCTGAGTTCTTCGATGTACAAATTCAATTATGTATCAGGGGAGATGTGGTATTAAAGTCATATTGATTGCCTTACTTAGTACTGTTGTGAGGGAAAACTTTTCTCTGAGCATCAAAATTGCATTCTTGTTAGAGGGACCAATGGGAAAAAGAAATAGGTTTTGGAAAAGAAAATCAATGACTAAAAGGCCAACATGCTATTGCAGACAGAACCTCTTTGGTGGGCTTCTTCTTTGGAATTTACATTCTAATAGACAATGAGTAAAATATTCTGGTAGATTTTAAACTCCTTGAGGGCAGAAACTGTGTCTTTTCATTTTTGTATCCTTAGCATCTGCATATGGTAGCTACATATTAAATATTTATTGAATTGCATTGAATTTAGCACCCAGACTGCTTCTTCATTAAAAAATTCAATGAATATTGAGCGCCTACTGTGTATATGCACTGTTTAGGCACAAAGAAAAGAAGAAAAAGAAAAACGATCTCTTTTCTCAAAAGGCTTGCATTTTACATTAATGAAGCAGTTTTGAATTTGGGGTGTTTTGCTTTTAATTATAAGTTCCTCCCTTATTTTACCTTTAGATGCAGGAAAACAGTAAGGAGAGAAAAGTGTCAAAACATCCCCACTTCAAGAAAGGTAGTAAAAATCATTAGGACTTTGAGTTATATTCCCAATAATATTATATATTTCTAATAATGCCTAATTCCTTTATTCCTAGGAGTTAGGAATTGAGATATTCCCGTACTGTCCTTAAGGGATTGACTCATAAGTAGAAACAATTAACCACTGCTGGCAGCAAACTGGGGAAAGGATACAGTTATCCCTTCCCCATTGTATGGGGGTTGGTGGTCCAGTGCCCCTGAGATCTTGAAAATATGGGTACAATTTTTTGGTCCTCCCTTTATACTAGAGAAGAAGTCTGAATTTTTTCTTTTTATTTTATGAGGTGCTTACTTTATCTTACTGAAAAATTTGGGTTAAGTATTTGGTCATAGGCTCTCTGTTGTCTGTTGGCCTTTGTGTGTCATCTGCAGCTTCCACAAAACTTCCCCAAAATTCCCATTTAATTTCTTACGCTGACCTGTGATATGTTGAAACGACAATGGGGAAAGCTGTGATGTGGAAAGGATAACTGCATAGTCAAGAAAAGGCTTAACCCTTTTAGGACTCATCCCAGCCCACAAAGTGTTAGAAACATATATTATTCCCCAACAACATAGAGTTGGGGTTCACACTATGGATTATGGAGAAGGTTCTCTTCATCCTTAGAACTGGAAGGGTCCTTAGATGATGTCCTGTCCAATGCCCTGCAATCCCCACTTTAGTTAATTGATGAGGGAGTTATTCAATCATCTAAACTTTTCTTGAACATCTTTCTATCTAACAAGGTTACCAATTCCCATTTTGGGATAGCTCAGTAGCTCTAATTTTTGGGAAATTCTTTAGAATGAGCTGACATCTACCAGTCTTCCTCCCTCCACTATACTCTGGTTTTCCCCACTGGAGCCACACTGACTAAGAGAACTTTGTTTTCCACATGAAACCTTTCCAACGTTTAAAAACATTGATACTGTACCCAGGAAATTTTCTTTTTTCCAATTCCTTACATTCCTCTATAAAAGATTCTTCCATACTTCCCTGAGTTTCTTGTCCTTTGGATGGTACTATTAAAACAGCTAAGCCTGTGGCAGCTATATAGGAAGGATCCAGCTTTGAACCTTTGGCCTCCTCAAATCTGAATTCCTAAAGCACCTTCTGCTTTTATATTTTGATCTAGTCCAGCGCCCTAGGCCTCGGGGCTTTTCCTGATTTCTTCACTGAACACTGAGTTAAAGCTTGAGACAAAGAACTATCTGAACCCTAGGAGTTCCCTCCTAAACTTTGTTTCCTTCCCAGGTTTCAGAAATATGCTCCACCAGATTCCTGACGTTCTACCCTCCTTCTGACATTGCTGCCCTAACTAGTTACCTAGTCTAGCACCTGTCTGCTTTCTCATTCCCTTTTTTTCTTGTTTCTCCTCAATTAGGCACTGAGAATGGGATTTTATATGGTTTACTCATAAGAAAAAAAGAGACTACAGTTAGAGAGCTTCCACAGGTTAGTAGTGTAATGCCCCACCCACAATCTGAAAAACCCACGTAAAATTTTTTGGCCCTCCCTTTGTACCAGAGAAATCTGAATTTTATTTTTTCTTTTCTTTTCTGGGGTGTTTACAGTACTTTATTGTAAAGTTTGGGTTAAATATTTGGTCATAGGCTCTGTGCTGTCTGTGGTTTCTACAAAACTTCCCCAAAATTCCCATTTAATTTCTTATACTCACTCGCAGTACATCTAAACCAATGGGGAAAGTCACAGTGTGGAAGGGATAACTGTATATACAAAATCAGGAATTTGTAAATACCTCACACAGAGGAAAGGTAATTACAAGTATGAATAAAAGATACCTAGTTCCTGCAGGGATGAACTTAAATTTTAAGCTATTCTCTCTTACTATAACTTCCCAGGCCTCATAGCCACCCATTTTCTTCTATCCCAGTAATAGATGAACAAAATATTCTTCTCATCCCATAATACTCCATGCCAAAATGAAATGTCCCACCTGCACCTTTGTATGGATCTGAGATCATTGATTCGTTCTACAATTGCAGACTTAGTCTTAGCCAATCAGGAGATTTCCCTTTGTTCTGGCCATTTCTCACTTTGTTCTTCATACTGTGTCTTGACTACAGTGACTTCTATCTCAGAGCAGTGTGAAATTGGGGTAGCATGATTCCATGCTATTACTCTACTGTGCTATGAGAAATGATGAGCTTGATGATCTTAGAAAAACTTGGAAAGATTTGGACTAAATAATGAAGAGTGAAATGGGCAGAACCAAGAGAACATTCTATACAATGTTCTGTTGTATACAATGACTATTCTAAATCTCCAAATTAACTATAAAAGACATATGAAGAAAGATGCTATCTGCATCCAGAGAACTGATAAATAGAAGTATGTATAGAATAATTTTACATACACACCTATTTGTTTCTAGCCATCTCTAAGGGAGGGAAGAAAAAAGGAAATTTATATAACTTTATTACATATTTAAAAGAAATAGCAAGTTGTACATAATAGAATTGTGGTTTCATGTGCAATCATCTTTTTCATTATACTATGTTATGGAAATGTTTGTTTTATTCCATAAATTTAAAATAAAACTAAATTTCTGGCTTTATCTTTACAAATTGCAGGGTTGAGAAAGACAGTTGCTTCTTCTCTTGTTCCCTATGCTATGGAAATTGATTCATTCAATCGATTTCCATATACCTGGGCTTTTTGACAACCTGCTCTCCTTAGCAGGTTATCATGTCTTGCTTTCATCATTGCCCCTATAAGTCTTTTTCACGCTTCTACTCTGAGTCCTCTGCTCTCACTTGATGAAACTTTCCTGCTTGCCAAGTAGGCAAGGTCACCATTGAGCCTTTGCTATCTACCAGAATTCCCCTCCCACCTATCAAAGAGAAATATAAACCCAGCCAGGCACAGCTCTCCTCACTTTTAAAAAGAGAATACAAAACCACTCCCCAAAGGATACAAAGACAGCCATTCTTTCACATCTTCACGGTCCTGGGACCTGCCTCCACACTCCAAAACAGACTGGTTTGACATATTTGAGTCATGGAACCTTAGAAGGGACCTTTGAGACCATCTAGTTCAAGCCTGAGAGTCTTTTTATTACTACCAGGGATTTATGGAGCTCCAATTTTACCTTTATCATACCATGACAGGTCAGTGACAACAGTCTAAAAATATTAGCAAACACATTTCTGTAGATTACGAGAAGAGGTTTGGAGGTTTGTCAGAGGGAGGGAAGTGAAAGAGATAAATGATTCAAAGATTCTTCTGAAATGAAGCTGGTTGTCAGTACATTCCTAGAAATGAAAAGGGAAAAGGAAATATGTTCCTTAGCCACAGGCATGCATCTTGAAATTAATAATAGCTAGCATTTATATACCACTTTAAAGTTTGTAAAGAGATTAAACATGTTGTCTTTGTTCCTCATGACAACCCTGAGAGTAAGTGCTATTATTATCATCCCTATTTTACAGATGAGAAAACTGAGGCTGAAAGAGATTACGTGAATTGCTCAGGGTCCCACGGCTACTATCTGAGGCTGCATATGAATTCAAATTTTATTGACTCCAAGATCAACACTCTATCTCCCATGCCACTTAAGTAATTGAGAATAAGTACTACAGGTTTTGGATTTATTTATCGCTGTGATCTAGCCTCTCTGGGCTTCATGAAGAGTTAGATTTTGGTATTGTGCAAATACAAAGAAATAGCAAAAAATTATTACGTATGATTTTTGTGCATGCAGTGCCATAGCCAAAGGGATATGCTGCTGACAGCTATAACAATGGCTAGCATTTCTATAGTGCTTCAAGTTTTGCAAAATGCTCTGACACATCTCATTTAAGTCTCATAAACACCCAGTGAGGTAGCTAGTTACTCAGGGCATTGTTGTTCCCATTTCATAGATGAGGAAACCGAGTCTCAAAGTGGGGGTGGTGGTAAAGTGATTTGTTTGTGGTGGTAGAGCTAGAAAGTATCAGAGATGGGATTCAGACTCAGGAAAGAACATTGGTTTTCTGCAGTCAGAAGATCTGGATTTAATTCCCACCTTTGGCATTGAGTATAACCTCAGTAAAGTAAATTTAACCTTCCTGAGCCTCAGTTTCTACAATGAGAGGTTGAGCTAGAAGACCGCTGAGGTCTTTTCTACCACTTAAACTTAAGATCCCATGACTCAGAATTTAGCATTATTCTCTAAATCCCTGGGTCAGAGCCTTTCTACAGTTCAGTTGTACATAAAAAGCATTGGAACTTCAGGTAAATAGGTTGTGTTAACAGGTGGTCTGGACCAGCGGCAGTGACTTTCTTGCCCAATACCCTAATGTAGAGGCCTGCAGCATATCAAGGCCACTCCCAGAGCCTGGAAACAGAATCATCCTGAGTGAAATACTAGCTCAGAATTGGGACTATGAGCCAGAAGATGTGAGGATGCTGACAGGCAATTTGGGATGTTCATAACCTCAGGATGTCCTAAGAGAAGTGCCAGGTCCAGAAGGCCAGTGACTGAGCTTACTTATGGCACTATAGAAAGAAAAAAGAAGCTTCTTCAGGTAGTTGAGCTATACTCATTGTTGGACAGCATTTATACTTTGTATGTAACTGCCATAGATGCTACTCTGATGCATACAACTTAGAGGTTTGATATGAAAATGCTTCTCTTGTCATGTTAAACATTGTTATAAATGGTAGCATACAGTGTCATGCATGTGTTATAATATAGGTATGGAATGCATTTCTGCATGCGCACTGTGGATTTGGTCACTATACAACTCAATTATGCAATATCATGTTTAATATTGTCTTGAGGTGTATTAGAATTTAATAATGCTATATTGTCCTATATGCTGTTGATTCTATGATATATGCATTATGTTTGTCCGTGCTCTAATACTAGTTGAATGCAGTACTAATGTGACTGCCGTGTCTTAGATACCTGCATATATGTTATGTTACTTAATGTAGCTTGGAAGATATAGTTCAGCTCTTAGGCACTTCCACAAAGTCTTACTCCAATGTTTCATGGTGGCATGGAGATAACCTTTCCACAGGCAAATAAAGGCACTGAGACTCACTTGTGGTATCTACCTATCATCCAACTTTCCCCTGTAGCTCCAAGAAGTTGTAGCGTTTGCAGCAGCTACATGCCAGCAAAACCATTTTGGCAGAGGGGTTAAGCCAGGTTGAGGATAACTGACAGGCCTCAAACCCATTGGTTAGTTAGGGGTATGCCTACGCCCAACATGTGAAGACTTTCCCCAGTGGAACAAGCAGATGAAAACAATTTGTTCCAAGGCCATCAGGTTGGCTGGAGTAGGTGGTGTGGAGCTCTTAGAGCTTGGTCAGACATTGAAGAGGCCAAGGTTATCCACTGCATCCCAGGCCATTGCCAGTTATCCTGACTTTGTCCTGCCACTGGACTTCAATGACTCTGGAAGAGAGAGTGAGGCTGATGACTTGGTGCAACTCTGCCTCACTTAAATCAGTTCATGCACAAGTTAAGACATCACTCATCATGATGTCATTGGTCTTCAAAAACAAAGGGCAAATGACAGCAAAGGTGATTTTTATCATGCATTCAAAGGCAATGAAGGCTTTCTTTCATGGGACATTTGGTCATCTCATACTTCCACTTATGACAAATGCTTGCAAAGAGACCATCATGAGCCCAGTGGAAGCTATTGTACTAATACCGGCTGCAGATGATGAAGAGGTAGAGAAATCTTATGAAACACTGAATAAGGCCCTTCAAATTATATCATTTCCCCCAGCTGGTGGTCCTAGTTCTCTTGCTTTCCTACACTCACCCATTAGTGACCTTTTCAGCTCCCCTGAATTTAATTATCATTCCAATGAGATCAAAGAAAGAAGAAAAGGACTTAGACATACAAAAATATTTATAGTAGTTCTTTATGTGGTGGCAAAGAATGGAAAATCGAGGGGGTGCCAATCAGTTAAGGAATGGCTATACAAGTTATGGCATATGAAGGTGATGCGCTAATATTATAAGAAATGATGAAGAGGATGGCTTCAGAGAAACCTGGAAAGAACTGGTATGATCATCTAAAGTCAACAGAACCAGGAGAACAATCTATACAATAAAAACAACATTGTAAGGGGTAGATAGGTGGCATAGTGGATAGAGCACCAGCCCTGAATTCAGGAGGACCTGAGTTCAAATCTGGATTTAGACCAAATACTTGACACTAGCTGTGTGACCCTGGGTAAGTTACTTAACCCCAATTACCTCAAAAAAAACCCCAACAACAACAAAACAATATTGTAAAGACAAACAATTTTGAAAGACTTAGGAACTCTGATCAATACAATGACCAATCTTAGATCTAGAAGACTCATAATAAAACATGCTACCCACCTCCAGAAGGAGAGGTGATAATGGCTTCAGAGTGCAGATTGAAGCATATTTGCTTTTTGGGGGACATGGCTAATGTGGGAATTTGATTTGCTTGCCTATACACATTTGTAATGGGTTTTTTTTTTCAATGGGTGGGGGGAGAGGGGGGGAATTTGGAACTGAAAATAAAGTGAAACTGAATTTTAAAAAGAACAAAAACAGATCACCTGAAAGCTGATGACTCAAGACCTATATGTTGAACCCTGGTATCTCCACTGAACTTCAATCCTTCATCACCTACTACTTGGACATTTTGGAAAGGATGTGCTACAAACATCTCAAACTCAACATATTCAGAATGGAATTCTTTATCTTTCCCTCCAAACAACCCCCTTCTCTGAACTTTCCCATTTCTGTTAAGGGAAACACCACACTTCAGTTAACTAGGTTTGCAAACTTGATGTTACTCTTGTCTGCTCACTCTTACTCATCCCATACATTAGTTGCCAAATCTTGTCCTTTTTAGCCCCAAAACATCTCTTGGCTACATCACCACTCACCATCCTACTTCAGCCCTCATCACCTCTCTGGACTATGGCAATAGCCTCTTAATTGGCTTTCTTGCCTCAAGTCTCTCCCCATCTAACCGCCACACAGCTGCCAAAGTGATCATGTTAATGCCCTCTTTAATAAATAGCGGCTTCTACTACCTCCAGCATCAAATACAAACTCCTCTATTTGGTGTTTAAGGACCTTTACAACCTGACTCCAAGCTATGTTTCCAACCTTATTACTCATCATTCCCTCCATGTACATTGCTCTCTTATAGTATAGCCAAATTGGCCTTCCTACTATCACTAGCGCATGACATTCCATCTCCTGTCTTCATGCCTTTGTAATATCTCTTCAGTCCTCATGCCTAGAATGACTCCCTCTACCGCCAATGAACAAATCCCTTTAATGAAAGGATTTGTTCTATAAATCTTGGACTCAGTCAAAAGGCCACACCCAAGGACCTAGAAGGCCACATGTGGCCTCAAGGCCTCAGGTTCTCCACCCCTGTACCAGATTATATAATCACATTGTATCTCACAAAAGTTAGCATCCTTTTCAAGTTCTAGAACAGAGATCTGCACATGGTAGATGTCCAATGAATACATTTTTATGTAATTTTTTGAATTTATGTTGTTTGAATTGATCTAGGAATAACACATAGAGTACACAGGTCAAAATTGGTAACCACTTAGGTCCCTTCCAACTTTGAAATTTCATTATTCTCTTAGATCTCCAGTATGCCATATTCTTTCTATTGACCACATCTAAGGATTAGAGATTATTTTCAAGAGTTAGGGAAATAGCATGAATACTTGGGGAGAGGGATTGTTTCATTGTGGGATCATTCTTTTAGGATGGTATATTTTTATTTATGTTTTTTTTTTCCTGAACACAGTAAAGGTTTTTTTTTCCTTTTTTCCTAAGTACCTTTTTCACTGGTTGTGCCCATATACTTCTCTTATCACCTTTGTCTCTTAGAATCTTTAGCTCACCTCAAGTACCATCTCTTTAACAGGAGAAGGGGAAAGAGAAAGGAATAAGCATTTATATGGTGCCTATTTTTGCCAGGCACTGTGCTAAGCATTTTAAAAATATTATCTTGTTTGACCCTCACAACAACCCTGGGAAGTAGGTGCTAGTCTTAGCCCTCATGTTATAGATGAGGAAATTGGGGCAAACAGAGGTAAAATGATTTGCCCAAGGACATACAGCTAGTAAGTGTTTGAGGTCACATTTGAACTCACATCTTCCTGACTCAAGGCCTAGTCCTCTATCTGCTGTACCACCCAGCAGGCCTTTCTGGCTCCATGCCCCCCCAGTTGTTAGTGCTACTTCACCAAAATTATTCATGTTTTATGTTCTTTATATTTACTTATATATGTGCATCTTGTATCTCCTCAGTAGGACTAGAACTCCTTAAGGGTAAAGACTGTTTTGTAATTACTTTTGTGTCCCCAGCACCTAGCACAGAGCCTGGAATATAGTAAGCACTTAATAAATGCTTATTGAATTAAATTGTTATGCTATTTTCTTTTGTTTTTCAAAAGCTAATATATCAAATTGAACAGAATTAATTTTTTATTTTTACCCCATATATTTATCTTGTATGTACAGAGTTGATTGTACCCGGTCTCTCCCATTAGAATGTGAGCTCTTAACAGGCAAAGACCATATTTTTGCCTTTCTTTGTATCCCTAGAACTTAGGAAGAGTGTGATAAGTGCTTACGGACTTGACAAAACATGTAAATGAAAGTCTAACCCAAAGTGACAAAGTTATGCCATCAAGGTGCGATTTTGGCTTGAGCAGTTATCTAAGGACAGCTATTTCCAGCCTGATGCTGGAGGGGATGTCAATGAGGAAGGCTGGCAAATACTGACAGCAGAAGACATAAAAAGGTGACTCGTTAATTTCTCAATTCAATAAGAAAAAGTAATCTTTAACTTATATGGGATATCTTGTGGACATATCTCAAGTGGAAATAGTGACGAAAGAACATTGTCCATGAGGACAGGTACCATATGTGATTCATTTTCGTATCTTCCCCAGCACTAAGCAATGTCTTCTATTCCTATTGCACCTATCTCTTCTCTTTGAATTGGTTAGCTCTAGTTCCTGCTCGCAATCTCTGGAGTCTACTTTTCAGACTTTAATTTGCTCCTTCACCCCCCATCCCCACCCTACTCACACTCAAAGAATATTTCCGATGTGATATTTCTCTGGTTGAGACCACTTCCCTTTTCTTGATGAGCCAGTGGTTCCAGAGACACCTCACAATGGTATAATCAAGTGTCCAATAATGCCCATTCACAATCAATTAATAAATATTTATCAAGTGCCTATTATATTCCAGGTACTGTGCTAAATCCTGGGATAAAAAAAAAAGAAGCAAAAGACAGTCTCTGCCCTCAAAGAGTTCACAATCTAAATGACATGGAATTTTATCCTTGGAAATGACATGGAATTTTATCTTTGGAAGGGATTTTAGAAGTTTTTGAGTCTAACCTGCAACCCAATTTAAAAGATTGTTTTTCATACTCCATTATTTTGAAACTAGTCCTTCATTAATTCAATAATTGCTTATGAAGACCCTACCTGCAATTAGCAGTAGGAATGAAAACAACACCTAAGTTCCTAATACCTTCAAAATCTTGTTCAGGAGTTCATAATCCTAAGTAATATTTTCTAGGTTTCCTCTGGTTATATCATCTGTCCCTACATGAATCAATAGTAGTGGGGGATGGGCATCATAACTGACCAGTCTTGGCATGGCTGTCACATCCTGAGTACACATCCCAGGAGGACACTACTGCTCCCCATCATTCCTGTCAGGTCAAAAACATGTCCGCCTCAGCAAGGAGTCACTAACCTCTGTGATTTCCTTTCCTCTCACTGTGACCAATATTGGATTATTTCTGTCCTGGTGACACCTGTGAACTTTCATCATTACCTTCCCTGGAAAGTGAGAAGCTGCTTTCCCCCTTAACCAGCTCCACACTCCACTGAAAGGCTCTGAGAAATTCCCTTTACTCTCTCTACCTGCTGGAATAAGGAACCTCAATTCACTGTTAGCTTTGCTTCCAGTTTTTAGCCACCTCTCGTGGCTAACTCTTTTGACAAAAATACTTGTACATTGCCTGCTGGCTTTGCCATTGGGACTTCTCT